CACCCTGTAACCCTGACCCCCTCACCCTGTAACCCTGACCCCCTCACCCTGTAACCCTGACCCCCTCACCCTGTAACCCTGACCCCCTCACCCTGTAACCCTGACCCCCTCACCCTGTAACCCTGACCCCCTCACCCTGACCCCCTCACCCTAACCCTGACCCCCTCACCCTGACCCCCTCACCCTGTAACCCTGACCCCCTAACCCTGACCCCCTCACCCTGACCCCCTCACCCTGACCCCCTCACCCTGACCCCCTCACCCTGTAACCCTGACCCCCTCACCCTGTAACCCTGACCCCCTCACCCTGACCCCCTAACCCTGCCCCCCTCACCCTGTAACCCTCACCCTGTCCCCCTCACCCTGACCCCCTCACCCTGACCCCCTCACCCTGACCCCCTCACCCTGTCCCCCTCACCCTGACCCCCTCACCCTGACCCCCTCACCCTGACCCCCTCACCCTGACCCCCTCACCCTGACCCCCTCACCCTGACCCCCTCACCCTGACCCCCTCACCCTGACCCCCTCACCCTGACCCTCTGGGACCTCAGTCTGGTTCTCCTCGAGGGGTTCCACTCTCCTCACTGGGTTCAGGGTTTGTATCCAACGTTCCTTGTATCGTGTCCTGTTATTATTATTCTAAAATCCTCTCAAAGAACAACACACTCTCCACCTGCGTCTTAGAAATGTTTTTGTTCTGGAACAGGAAAGTCAAACACAGAAACTGGACTAAACTTTGTTCAGAAAAATCTACTGGAAAAGAACATCCAAACTACTGTGAATCCAGTACTGCGTCCAGATGAAAAGTAATCTACTTTTATAAATATACTTAGTTTCGGTTTCAAACCAGGTCTTACGTGTCTCTGTTTGGTCCTCATGTTCCGACCCTAAACTGGCTCCGAGAAGAGGAAAGGAAATAAAACATAAACAACCAGGTGTATTTGGCAAAGTAAATGACTTTTTATTCTTAGGGCAGAAAGGTACAAATGTAAAGTACAAAAGCAGTAACAAAAGCCTTCTCTATGATTGTACACAATGAGTGGGACACCTGTGGCCCTGCGCTGTCGGACCCCGGCCGCTGTGACAGTGAAGGATGGCCGGGTCTGAGGCTCCGTGGGGGGCTCTGCTGTAAATGTAATGATCCCGGACACAAAGATGAGATGGTCTGCAGCACTTCTTTAGAAAAACAACCTGAAGAGTGGAAGCATAATCAGGATTCTGGCTGACAGGCCACTTTAGAGGCAGAAGCAGCTGAGCCGTGGTAATGTGGGCCGAGTGGGTCACTTTACATCCATATGCTGCTGCCTTCTCCCCCCAGGACCGCTGTAATGGAGAGTGAACTAAAGAAGAAGGCCTTTATCATTCATGGCTCATGGCGGGGGGGCATTTTTTAGTCTTAACTCAAAAAGATCATAAAGAAATGACTTTAAGATGTGTTTTTAATTCCATTCATTATTTAGTCTGAACGCAGAGAAAACTGGTTCATAGTTTAATGAGAAAAATCAGGAGTTAATATCTGTGTGAAAACAATACAAGACAATATCAATGAGTCACTAATCTGTCATCATGAAAGGGCCCTAATCTGTCATCATGAAAAGGCCCTAATCTGTCATCATGAAAGGGCCCTAATCTGTCATCATGAAAAGGCCCTAATCTGTCATCATGAAAAGGCCCTAATCTGTCATCATTAAAGGGCCCTAATCTGTCATCATTAAAGGGCCCTAATCTGTCATCATGAAAGGGCCCTAATCTGTCATCATTAAAGGGCCCTAATCTGTCATCATGAAAGGGCCCTAATCTGTCATCATTAAAGGGCCCTAATCTGTCATCATTAAAGGGCCCTAATCTGTCATCATGAAAGGGCCCTAATCTGTCATCATGAAAGGGCCCTAATCTGTCATCATGAAAGGGCCCTAATCTGTCATCATGAAAGGGCCCTAATCTGTCATCATTAAAGGGCCCTAATCTGTCATCATGAAAGGGCCCTAATCTGTCATCATGAAAGGGCCCTAATCTGTCATCATGAAAGGGCCCTAATCTGTCATCATTAAAGGGCCCTAATCTGTCATCTTGAAAGGGCCCTAATCTGTCATCATGAAAGGGCCCTAATCTGTCATCATGAAAGGGCCCTAATCTGTCATCATTAAAGGGCCCTAATCTGTCATCATTAAAGGGCCCTAATCTGTCATCATTAAAGGGCCCTAATCTGTCATAATTAAAGGGCCCTAATCTGTCATAATGAAAAGGCCCTAATCTGTCATCATGAAAGGGCCTTAATCTGTCATCATGAAAGGGCCCTAATCTGTCATCATTAAAGGGCCCTAATCTGTCATCTTGAAAGGGCCCTAATCTGTCATCATGAAAGGGCCCTAATCTGTCATCATGAAAGGGCCCTAATCTGTCATCATGAAAGGGCCCTAATCTGTCATCATGAAAGGGCCCTAATCTGTCATCATTAAAGGGCCCTAATCTGTCATAATAATAAACTGTTCTTTTCCAATACTTCTTTAACTGATAACAGTAGTTCAGAGATATTTGAATTTCTAAATTACTTTTCCAGCCTCTAAATCTTGTTATTGTTTTCATTTCGATGTCCCGCCCTCCACCGTTTCACCAATCAGAAAATTATTCTCAAATCATTAACGACAAAACAAGGAATAAAACCAGGATTTCTATCTTTGTGAAAATGGTGTTGGTTATAGATTTGTTGTTGACAAAACTCTTGTCTATTCAGCTGTTATGGTCCCAGCTGGATTCGTCTGCATATCTGGCAACCTGAGTCAGGGAGAGTGGGAGAGGCTGCAGTACCACTTTGGGCCACATTCTTACATACTACTTTAAATACAAATAAAAGAGTCATTGTACTCCTGGTTCGTTGTGTCCTGTTTAAAGCAGCTCTAAGTTCCTGGTGACCTCTGACCTCCGTCCTCTAAGGTCTATAATAAACGTTTGTAATAATGTCCTTTCACTCTCCGACACCAGCACCAGTCTAATGAAGCAATAATGAGGGATTAGTTTGTTCCTAATCACTGCAGGTCTGAGACTGAGGCCATTAGAGCCACAGAAAGAATAATACGGCGGCACGGTGGCTGAGTAGTTAGCTCTATCGCTTCTCAACAAGAAGGTCCTGGGTTCGAATCCCAAGTCGGAACAGGGCCTTTCTGAGTGGAGTTTGCATGTTCTCCCTGTGTCTGCGTAGGCCACAGGCGATGGCGGTGGTCCTCTGGGCCTAGACCCTGGTGGTGGTAGTTTTGGAGAAAGATGAAAGGGCTGGTCTAGAACAAGGCTGAAATGGGGAGGAGGAGGGTTGCAGCGTGAGTGAAGCTACTACTTGGATGGAGCTTCTGTGCCATATGAAGCTGATGTGTGCAGTGCCTGAAGCTTCCAGGAGAGGGCAGTGTGGCGCTGCAGCTGAGTGTGATTGACAGTTACTGTGAGCTATGTAGTTACTCTGAACTTCTGCTTTAGCTTCATCAGGTTGAAAACAAGCCCCATGATCCAAGATGGCGTCCTGTTCAAATGAAAGCTGTAGGTTCTCTGTCAGGTTCTCTGTCAGCTGAGGTCGAGCTGTTTGTACAAATTTGCACTACATAAACATCACCCCAACCCTTACACACGCACACGTACGCACACGCACACGAGCAGACACGCGCACACACATGCAATCTGTCTGAGCAGAGAGAGGTGTGCTCTGCTCAGACAGATGTATTGTAAATGTCATCAACATGATAATGACAGAAATTGACTCGTACAGTACTAAAGGGCTGGACTCGACTCTCCCTGGTTTGCGGGCGCTTCTACCGCTCGCTTCAACCGCTCCCCGGTACTTTTTATTAATGGTTTGGCCCTGGTTCTAACCGGGCGAGTCGATACCAGAACAATTTCACGTCAGCGAACATTAATTATGATTCTCTAACCAAGAAAAAAAATCAAGTTTCAACCCAGTGTTCAGCAGAAACAGAACTGTCTTTATCGAACCATGATTCTCTCTGACTGCGTTTAGTGAAAGATATAGATGTGACACATAACACCAACACCACTTTAGCTGATTTAGAACCACAGACACATGTTCAGTGTAAGACCAGATACTTTTGCATTTGATTGATTGACAGACACTCACCAGGCAGAGTTGAGGCTTATCTCCTGGTGTAAGGCTAGCTGGTGTTAGCTGATTTTAGCATGTTAGCCGGTGTTAGCCGATGTCCGTAAATGTAATCCATTTGGTCAAACCACCTCCAGACTTTTCGGGTCTGCCTCTACTTCTGCTGCTGCGATCTTTCATTTCACGGTTGTCACTTTTAAGCTTTTTAACTTTTCTCTGCATTGTCATGTTTGTGGGAATCATTCTGCTCCGTCCTTAGTGCTAGCTCCACAAACACCTTCTGGTTTCTGGTGGAACCATCGAGCTCACTCTGGTGTCCTCTCCTCAAACTGAGGAAGGTGTTGCCCTCATCCAGCGACCAAGGAACTGTTTTCCGTACGGACGTCATGGATCGAGGCAACGTGTTGTTTGTTATGATATTTGCACCAGCTGAGGCAGCAGCTGCAGAGTGATTGACAGCGCATCTGACCAATCAGAATAGACGTTCGCCGACGTCAGATTGTTTTGGTGGCCTGGCTAGTGGAGTGAAGTCGGCCTTTACTATGGGTCAGAACTACATAGGGAATGAATGGCAGCGCCACCACCGAGGCGTTTTTGACGCTTGTCGTGTGAAAGCCCAAGAGCCGCACGGAACCAGCCAAAGAGCCGCATGCGGCTCACGAGCCGCGGGTTGGCCACTCCTGTTATAGATCCATGGTCTGAACACGTCAGAGCCATTAGTCCATAAGGAGCAGGATGACCAAGGTCCTTACAATCCATAACTGATTCTAAAGTCCATACATGTCTCTTCTAATGTGTTTTTGTTGTGTGTGTGTGCGTATGTGTGTGTGTGTGTGTTTGTTCTGTGTGCGTGTGTGTGTGTGTGTGTTTGTTCTGTGTGCGTGCGTGTGTGTGTGCAGGTGTGTATTGTGCAGAAGAGAGACACAGAGAAGATGTACGCCATGAAGTACATGAACAAACAGCAGTGCATCGAGCGAGACGAGGTCCGCAACGTCTTCAGAGAACTGGAGATCCTGCAGGAGATCGAACACATGTTTTTAGTCAACCTCTGGTAAGAACTGCTGCTTTTCATACATCCTGACCACTGCTGACCACTGCTGACCACTCCTGACCACTCCTGACCACTGCTGACCACTGCTGACCACTCCTGACCACTCCTGACCACTGCTGACCACTGCTGACCACTGCTGACCACTGCTGACCACTGCTGACCACTGCTGACCACTCCTGACCACTGCTGACCACTGCTGACCACTGCTGACCACTCCTGACCACTGCTGACCACTGCTGACCACTGCTGACCACTGCTGACCACTCCTGACCACTGCTGACCCCCCCTGACCTCTTCTGACCACTCCTGACCACTCCTGACCACTGCTGACCACTCCTGACCCCTCCTGACCTCTGCTGACCCCTCCTGACCCCTCCTGACCTCTCCTGACCCCTCCTGACCTCTCCTGTGTACTCCTGACACAGACACTGACATGTTTTCCGCCGTGTTTTGACTGTTGTCACGGTCCATATTTATTCTGTTGTTTTAAAAGTTTTAATTGGCGTTGTCTTACGGCGAGGCCACTGCAATAAACCATCAGTGTGATTTTAGCCCATTAAAACGTAGAAAAATATCTTTTTAAACGCTCCAAGTTTCTTCTAATTGTTTTATGATAATTGCAGCTAACGGTCCATTCTGAGTCCAAATGAACGAAGAAGACGCCAAAAGCAGAGAGTGCTTACATTACAGTTGCTAAAAGTTTATGACATTAGGTTTTTCACCCCAAAAAACCACATCTTCAGGAATACGCTGATATTAAATGAGCTAAACTGAGGCATAGAGAACTTTACTTTCCCCAAAATTAGACAAATCTCTGCAATTATGGTCTATTTAAAGAGACAGTGACGTTTTATTTAGTTTCTCTTCACAGCGAGCCTTTGTGCGGCTGCTGTTGAAGCTGTAGATAATGACAGTAGTTTAAATACCTGCTTTTCCCCTGGGCCTGAAACGTGCAGAGAGAGTTCATTATTCAAACTGGACCAAATGTAATTGGGGGAAGACGCCAAGAATTACGAAGAACACTTTAGAATAATTGGTTCAATGATGGCTGGGGTTGAAGACGGTGGACGACACTGCAGGTCTGCGTCACTTTGGAATTAGATTAGTGAGAAAATGGGAAAGACCAGAGATGTACTGGGCTTGGCTCCTCTTGACCTCTTCCATAACCAGGAGGACAGACTGGAGGGACTTTCTCTCAAGGACAAGGTCTATAAGAGCCTACTGGGCTAAGAAATGGGTTTAAAAATACATTTATTATCAATTGTTGCCATTGTTTTTGCAATTATTCTCATGAGCTTCAAACATGATTTAAAACAACATCCTACTGCTTGGCTTTGTGCATTTTTCGACACATGCTATTTTACCAACATAGATAGATAGATAGATGTATAGATAGATAGATACAGTAGATAGATGTATAGATAGATACAGTAGATAGATAGATACAGTAGATAGATACAGTAGATAGATAGATACAGTAGATAGATATAGTAGATAGATAGATACAGTAGATAGATAGATACAGTAGATAGATAGATACAGTAGATAGATACAGTAGATAGATAGATACAGTAGATAGATAGATACAGTAGATAGATAGATACAGTAGATAGATACAGTAGATAGATAGATACAGTAGATAGATATAGTAGATAGATAGATACAGTAGATAGATAGATACAGTAGATAGATAGATACAGTAGATAGATACAGTAGATAGATAGATACAGTAGATAGATAGATACAGTAGATAGATAGATACAGTAGATAGATACAGTAGATAGATAGATACAGTAGATAGATACAGTAGATAGATAGATACAGTAGATAGATACCGTAGATAGATAGATACATTAGATAGATAGATGTATAGATAGATAGAGAGATAACAGAGAAGACCAACCCTTCCTTGTGCAGAATGCCTTGAACTTGTTTTGTATTCACTGTAGTAATCCTTGCCTTGTCACAGTTGCTCGCACAGTATTCCACAATAAAAATATGAATGAAAATAACAACAAAGTAACAACCTGCAAATAAGAATTATAAAAAGATAGTATCATGAGAATAGAATAATGTTGTTTTTGTTTGTTCATTTCAGGCAGTTCACATTAGGCACCGGTCACCTCTTGGCCACAGAAATAAATACAGTATTGCTAACATGCATAAGAGGGAAAAACAATAATAATAATAATAATAATAATGAAAACCAAAGTCGTTGCCTAAAGGGAGTAGGAAGAACTTGTATGTAATGTGAGACTGTGGGATCATAATCCTTATCTTAATGACAGTTGTGAGATCGTGAGTGAGCCGTAGAGCAGCTCCAGGCGTTCCTTCAGTGTTTTGGTGGTATTATAAAATGCTTGTTGGGCAGATCTGTGTGGTGGTGGGAGGTGTGAGTGTCTGCCTGAGTAGAACTGAAAACACTGGTGTCTTTGTGAGACTGAGACACAGGGAAACGAGCACAGAAGGCTTTGGCAGGCTGCAGCTCCGGTGGGATCCGTGCTATAAAAGATACACACTCGCCACTACTCTCCGCTCATTAAAATGTCCTCACTTTGTTCTGCCACCGCCGCCTCCCTCGCTCCCTTCTCTCTCAAGGATAAAAGTGTATATTCAACAGCATCTCCAGGCTGCAGAGCAAACATTCAGCGGCAGAATGCACATTTTGGCTCCGGCATTCTACTCTTTGAGAAGTCCTGTTGCCAGATAAAACTTTAAAGCCACTCTAGTTGGATTTTTGTGTTATGTAATCAAGAATTAATGGTAGATTCAGATTCTGATTCATTCTGATTCATTTTATTTTCAATTACATCTTAATTTCAATTTTAATTTCTTCTTATGTATCCCTAAATCTCAACAGAAGTTTAGAAGGACTTTGCAAAACCGTTGAATGTGCCAACACAGACCAGAGAATGTGCAGTAAAAACACATTGGAATACAAGTGCATCAGATACAGTAAGTATAGTATAATCAATGGAAAAGCCATGTTCCAGCTTCTTCCTTCGGGCAAACGATATCGTTCTCTGATTTGCAGGACCTCTCGATATGCTAACAGCTAGTCTCTCTGGGTTCTCTCTGGTCTCTCTCTCTGGTCTCTCTCTGCTCTCTCTCTCTGGTCTCTCTCTCTGGTCTCTCTCTCTGGTCTCTCTGGTCTCTCTCTGGTCTCTCTCTGGTCTCTCTCTCAGGTCTCTCTCTGGTCTTTCTCTGGTCTCTCTCTCAGGTCTCTCTGGTTTCTCTTGGGTCTCTCTCTGGTCTCTCTCTCTGGTCTCTCTCTGGTCTCTCTCTGGTCTCTCTCTGGTCTCTCTGGTCTCTCTCTGGTCTCTCTCTCTGGTCTCTCTCTGGTCTCTCTCTGGTCTGTCTCTGGTCTCTCTCTCTGGTCTCTCTCTGGTCCCTCTCTCTGGTCTCTCTGGTCTCTCTCTGGTCTGTCTCTGGTCTCTCTCTCTGGTCTCTCTCTGGTCTCTCTCTCTGGTCTCTCTGGTCTCTCTCTGGTCTCTCTCTGGTCTCTCTCTCTGGTCTCTCTCTGGTCTCTCTCTGGTCTCTCTCTCTGGTCTCTCTCTCTGGTCTCTCTCTGGTCTCTCTCTCTGGTCTCTCTCTCTGGTCTCTCTCTCTGGTCTCTCTCTGGTCTCTCTCTGGTCTCTCTCTGGTCTCTCTCTGGTCTCTCTCTCTGGTCTCTCTCTGGTCTCTCTCTGGTCTCTCTCTGGTCTCTCTCTGGTCTCTCTCTGGTCTCTCTCTGGTCTCTCTGGTCTCTCTCTGGTCTCTCTCTGGTCTCTCTCTGGTCTCTCTCTGGTCTCTCTCTCTGGTCTCTCTGGTCTCTCTCTGGTCTCTCTGGTCTCTCTCTGGTCTCTCTGGTCTCTCTGGTCTCTCTCTGGTCTCTCTCTGGTCTCTCTCTCTGGTCTCTCTGGTCTCTCTCTGGTCTCTCTCTGGTCTCTCTCTGGTCTCTCTCTGGTCCCCCTCTGGTCTCTCTCTCTGGTCTCTCTCTCTGGTCTCTCTCTGGTCTCTCTCTCTGGTCTCTCTCTGGTCTCTCTCTGCTCTCTCTCTCTGGTCTCTCTCTCTGGTCTCTCTCTCTGGTCTCTCTCTGGTCTCTCTCTCTGGTCTCTCTCTCTGGTCTCTCTCTCTGGTCTCTCTCTGGTCTCTCTCTGGTCTCTCTCTGGTCTCTCTCTGGTCTCTCTCTCTGGTCTCTCTCTGGTCTCTCTCTGGTCTCTCTCTCAGGTCTCTCTCTGGTCTCTCTCTCTGGTCTCTCTCTGGTCTCTCTGGTCTCTCTCTGGTCTCTCTCTCTGGTCTCTCTCTGGTCTCTCTCTGGTCTCTCTCTGGTCTCTCTCTGGTCTCTCTGGTCTCTCTCTGGTCTCTCTCTGGTCTCTCTCTGGTCTCTCTCTGGTCTCTCTCTGGTCATTCACCCGTGTGCTGCTGAGAATACTCTGCTTTACGTACAATCCACAGAGAAACCCATGGATCATTATTTAATCATGTCCCAGTTTAGTCCCAATATTGACGTAAATGAGGCCGCAGACTTCCCTATTCAAAATGGCCGCATTGATTCGAGCCGGTCTCTTTACAGCAGGAGATCTCCATTCAGAGAGCAGGCACATTATTCTGCTTTCATCTGTGCCAAAATGCCTTATCACAGTCCAAAAGAGAACAAATAATGTACTGAAAACATCTGTCTATCTGTATATATATATATATACAGTATCTGTCTGTCTGTCTGTCTGTCTGTCTGTCTGTCTGTCTGTGTGTGTCTGTCTGTCTGTCTGTCTGTCTGTCTGTCTGTCTGTCTGTCTGTCTGTCTGTCTGTCTGTCTGTCTGTCTGTCTGTCTGTCTGTCTGTCTGTCTGTCTGTCTGTCTGTCTGTCTGTCTGTCTGTCTGTCTGTCTGTCTGTCTGTCTGTCTGTGTGTCTGTCTGTCTGTCTGTCTGTCTGTCTGTCTGTCTGTCTGTCTGTCTGTCTGTCTGTCTGTCTGTCTGTCTGTCTGTCTGTCTGTCTGTCTGTCTGTCTGTCTGTCTGTGTGT